TTTCATTAATATTAACAGTAAGAAGCTGAAATTATAACTCAATACTAATATAACATAAAGGTATATAACAGAGTAGTTGCGAGAAAATTACCCCCACTCAGTCTATTTTTTCTGATTTCCGCGGCGTAAATCCCAGCGCGGCGTATATACCGGAGTTACCCTATATAAAAGTGGAGATACATAAATTATTTTTTCATTATTATAAACATTGAAGATGGAGGAATAGAATTAAATTCTATATATGTTAAAAAATAGTAAAATATAATTTTTGTTTAATTTTACATAAACTTTATCGAAACAAAAATATTATATTGAAACATTTGTTAAGTGAAGTTACTTAATATTGAATATTATTATGCTATAATAATATGTGAGCAACGATGTTTGAATCAAACTTATATTATAATTATATGTGTTACGCTAACTTAGGAAAATATAAAAATATGATGCCACAACAACGTACATATCATAACGGATTTATGATTTATATTTAGATATAATGATCAGAAAATCGTAAAGCTTCTTAATTTTATTAATTACTTAAAGCGCAACAAGGACTTTATATTACGAATAAATTGCTAAATTTAAAAGAAATTTGTAAAAGTTTGTACAAAGTTTTGTTATCCACTAAAGAAAGAAATTATTTCGAAATAAGATAAGATTTGCAAGATAAGATTCAATCTAAATTTTGCATTTTGAATTATTAATTCACAAGGATAAATTTATTATTCTAAATATATGGAAAAACATGATTATATTTTTTATGTGATTAAAGTTAAAATACTCACTGCTTGAACTGGTAAAGCAGCTTTCTCTGAAACGATACAAGATGGAATGACGCTATAATACACTGTGGTATCGGCTTTTATATCTTCTTTCAATCGTAAGTGTCGATAACTTCGGAATAAAAAAGTCTCCATAGAGATGTTGGATGAAACGTTGGATATATAAATATAATCTAAACTTTAGACGAGCACATTAATAACAAAGCTGTCTTTTTCAATTAATTTTAAATACAGAATTTATAAAAAAATGTTAATTGTTTTTTAATATGTTTCTTATTATGTATATTCATGCTAATTTATGTTATAAATCTCTTTCGCTTCTCTTTCATTTTCACCATTCATAATGCTCTTTTTTTAATACTCTCATTTTTAAATAATTACTAGTTAATAAATTCGCTTACATCATAAAGATAAGATATAGATTAAAATAAATGATAATTTTATTAAAACAAATCAAAATTGGAATGGATAGTTGGATAAATTCAATTTATCAACTATAGTTATTGATATATAAAATTGCTCATCAGGGTTGAAAAGTTCCTTTTTAAAAGTAACTCGTTACCATTAACAAATCGAAAAAGTAACTTAATACCGTTATTGTTGCTTGAAAAGTAACTTAAAACGGTATTCAAAACGTTTCGCTATTTTCTCTATTATATCTTTAATATTAAAAAAAGATCAAAAGAAACAAATTTATTTTTTAATATTTTTTGTAAAAATATTAATAGAAACAATAAAATTGTGTATTTAAAATTTGCAAAATATCACAAAAAATTTAACGATAAAAAATTTTAAATACTCGAAGTGCCGCAAATTAGAAAATTTTAGTTTTCCGTAAATTTTTTTAAAATTTTATCAAATTTTTACTTTTTTTATATTTCCTTACATTAAAAAATTTTAACGTGATAATTTAAAACTCAAAACTGTTCTCAAAATGTATGAAATTACATTATACACATTGTTTCTAGAGAATTATGACGAATTTAAAGGGATACTAGATCTTATAGTAAATTAATTAGGTTATTAATACTCGCGCGCGAGCAATGATTTAATTTTTTCAATGAATTAAACTGTAAATAGATTTAGTAAAGTAAAAGAATACACCTTGTTGTTATTTAAATTTATTGTGTTGGTAAAGTTTGAATGATTCTTTTATTCTTCATCGATAATTATAGTTGTAACTACGTCCGCATTGTCCGAAGGTTATATCTTTAGTTCCTAGACTAAAAGATTATAAATACAACATGATAATCGTAAATTTTATTTAATTGCGTAAGTTGAATGAAGAAGAATTATTTTGCGTAAAGTATTGTTCAATTATGAAACAAACATAATTATTTCTAAGAACTATCCGCGATAAAGAAAAAGTCTGGAAAATAAATTTAATACAATATTTATTACAAATACAATAAATTATCTTTTTTATGCATATTTATATGCATAATATATTACATGCGAAGACGTGGAAATTATTGGTCATTCTGATATTAGATTACTGTATAATCATGATCGCAATCATATTTGAAAAAATAAAAAACACAATATTGTTGATTTTAAGCCATATCGATTATTCAATAAATAGATATTTGTTTAAACACACTTTGTCTATTTTACTTGAAATTGTTAATAAATAGAAAATGCTTTTCTTATAAAAAAAGAAATTTCTATTTATATATACATCGAGAGATCTTACATAATAATTACGTATACTTATTTATTTGGCAGTAAAAATTTAATACTTATTATTAAACTTTATGTCTGAATTTCTTGAAAAACGCATCGATACAGTTATATATTTTTCTAAAAATATTTATACATATTTTCTATAAAATACATGTTTTAAATTATAATATGAAAAATATGAGTCAAAAACTTGATGAGGAATGATAATAAAACAAATTTCGCTAATATTATATGAAAATAATATAATAAATAGAACTTTTAAATAATATATACGCGCATGATTCGCTTTATGCTAGCACTCGAATAATAGCATGATTAACCATTCGGATCACTTATCACAATTTGATATAATGAGTACGCACGCGCATGCGTATGTGCGTATGTATGGTCGCGCTTGCTCTTTTTCTGAAATTTATATTTATTTATGATTTTATTGTAACCATAATTTTTCTTTAGAGCGTAGCTTCTTCTTCGAAATTTCCACGTTTTTCTGTCAATTTATGCTTCCTGTGTATAAAAAAGCAATGTGTTTTATAATTTAAATTAAATTTGAAATCACATTTGGATATAAATCATAGTTTTAATGAAATTTTTATTTATATTCTATATACGAGCATACATTACTTTTTTAATAATTCGTACATGAAAAATACAAAGAACGTCCTAATTTTCGTGAATATTTTATCACATGTTATTATTTTATTTGCATTACTTATAAAGCGACAAAATCTTTCATGCGAAAATTGATAATGCGTAAAAAATACCGCGATATAGATATGTACAGAAATTATTAATATTTGAAATACGAAAAGTATCTTTTTTTACTACAAAAAATATGTATGCAAAACGATTGGTTTACTTACTTTCCAAATTCTTCGCCATCTTGAAGTGTTTCTGGTAATGTACATTCGGCAGTTTCGGGCAATAATAAGCATAATGCAGATCCAATCAATGGCAAAATTCCGAATATAGTAGGTGGTAGCCACGTCTCAATGTTATTCTGAAATAATATCTACGATTGGTAATCTAGAAAACTTATTAGCAACTGGCGATTTTCGGGTGTTTGACATAAAATTATTATTATCACGACAACAATTTAATTAAAATCTCCATACACACAAACGGGAATTGAAATATTATTTGTTAACATCTATATTTACGATCGACTTAATTAAACTTACCAAAGATACTACAAATGGTGCTAAGATAGAGCCTATTCTGGCACACATGCTACTTGCGCCGATTCCTATGTTCCTCACGACTGTAGGAAACAGTTCTCCGGAGAAAAGGTAGACTGTTGTAAATGACACTGACATGCCGACAATACCGATGCATGTCAAAAGTAGTCGTAACCATTCTGTATCTACGGGAAATGAATGAATTATCGCTGCATTTAAATGATTCATAATTATTACTTTATAGATTTCTCGATTATCGTAAATTTTCTTCACCACTTAACAATAGAATAAAACTTTGTTTTTGTGATTAGGCCATTGATTAACCTTCAATCAGAAGATTAATCAATCATCAATCAATAGAAAGACTTCGTCGGAACGGAAAATACTTATTTTAACAGACTTACTGAAAGTAATGGCATTATCAAGATATTAAGAAACATTTTTATGCAAAACTCGTTCCATTGATAGTTCAAAAACAAGAGAAAGCATTACAAAAAAAACATAACGATGAATTATAATCATGTAATAAGATTTCTTACTGTTTGAGACGATGATTAAGAATAGACAGGCCACGCCACTTATAGAATTGCTGCAAATCAGGGTAATTCGTCGACCCAGAGTATTCATTGCCCACCATGCGACAAAATTCCCAGGAATCTGTATGGCACCGGACACTGCGAAATTAATAAAAATATCGCCACCGACTTGGCCAATATACTGTGATATGCCAAACAAACCCATTCCGCAAACGATCCAATTAAAGAAAATAGAGAGTGACTTTATTCGCATGTTCGGCGTGCGAAGCAAGTCGAAAAACGAAGCCTTGTAATCTAGCGTAGATTTTTTAAGGTTCTAAAATATATACAAAAGCAAGTGTTACAATTTGTCGAAGTATTTTAATAAGAAAAAATTGTAACTCTTACTTGATGTAAACAATGTTTCCTAACTATTTCGGGAACGTCTACATTTTCCACATTATTGGTATTGACTGCTTTCTGCAATACCTCGCACGCTGCTCTCTGTTTTCCCATAGCTAGTAACCATCTGGGTGATTCGGGTATTATCCACCAATAACTTAAAAGAACAATAGATGGAAGTGTGATGGCGATCTGTAGATGTTGCCAATGTCGAAACCAGAACGCGAGTCCTGCTAGCGACATGTGGCCTAAACTGAATGGAATTTGATATAAAACGGTGATGGCAGCACGCCATTTTGTACCTACTATTTCCATACCTGAAAGATATTAAGGAAAATGTTTATAATTAACTTATCTTATCAATAAAGAAATTTGATTCAATATAATATTCAAATTAACGTTCTAAATATTACTTTCCTTTGATTATACGCGTTCAATATACTTGTTCAATAACTCTTTATATTTATAAATCCGTATTCAGAACGCGCGGTGCTTTTATCAGGAAACACGGCAGTGTCTCGGCACTATAAGCAAGTGCAGTATGTCACAACGCGAGACCGGCCATGTTCCTTTACGATAAATACGCGCTTTTATGTCTGAAATTCTACAGTACACGTAACGTGACTTATATGCTAAATACACGCTAACACTGTAAAAGCGCCGTTCTAAATACAGGCCATAAATTTTATAAATTAAGAGCTACTTACAGATAACGTAACTAGTAACCATTGTGCCGCCAGTAGCTAAGGCACTTAACAACTTCATCAGTAGTAGTGCGTAAAACCAAGGTACTACAGCGCATCCAATACCCGACAAAAGTTGAAGAATAACAGAAACCATCAGCGGAGTTTTCCTGCCATATCTGAGATATTCGTGTACTTTTTATTTTACAACTGTTTTACGGTTTAATTATAACGATTTGAAATTATATATTCAATATTACGTGCATTCACCTGTCTGCTAAACTGCCGAAGATTATATTACCAAGAAGCACTCCGAACATAAGAATAGACTGTTGGATATTCGCATAATGCGTTCGATCACAGACAAGATTCCACTGAAACGCAATAAATCTTTTATCTTTCTATAAGATACTTTTCAAATCAGTAACTAAAAAGGAATTTTCTGCATGACTATATTTTATAAATTTTTGTGAATACGTTTGTTGACATTATAAAACAATGATTTTCGAACTCATAACACATTTACCTGCGATATGATAGTCTCGGGAAATAGTTTTCTGTCGTACTCCCATTCCGTGCATTTTATCAGGGTACCATTAAGATTGACCGTACATTGATCCTTGGAGTATTCCTCCGTAATAGCAGGTTCCGTACAGTTGTAATCTTGATGAGGCGCCATAAAAACGATTGCTAATTGATGCCATGCTACCGGAAATTTGACCAAAGAAATCGCCAGGCAGACGATGATTTGCCACCTGCCAAGATTGCCAATCGCGATCTGCACGGCGTCCACATTTGTGTCAGAATCGACATGATCATCCTTACCGTTAGGAACTTGCTTGGCATTCATATGTGCTGCTGCAATTTAGGAAGACCTCTTTTTTTTATTTGCGTATTTATAAACTCACTTTAATTTCTATTAATCAAGGGTCTTAAATTTTTAACGATCTTGAGTTATGACTTCGATCTCGATGTGAATTCTTGCAGAAAAGATTGTTACTTTCACATGTAGGAATAAATCACATATAAATTATTCTCCCTACTAACGATATAAACCAGCCGACAACAATTAATGATGAAATTTAATACAATTATTAATCGTAGAATACTAGGATGTGCCACATTCTTTTTTTTTCTCATGACAAAACATACGATGCAAATTTTTATCGCGTGGAATTTTTATCTGCATGACATATCGTTTTTGAAAAAATATTTTGCGCGTTATATGTATACGTCGTAATTACGCTCAATATTTATACTTGGGTCTGGTTACGAGTTTATTGCATTACAATTCAATGGTGACGTTGATTTACAGGTCTTAATTAATTTTGTATAATCAGACGCCATCAAAACTACGTATTATTTGATAATACTAAATTATTTATTGAGCTTTGTTAAAAAAGAAATTTTATCATAAAATTATAATCTTAATATTAATAATTGTTATTTTGTATAATAATCGCAATATTTATGCAAACATATTTACATTCTCCTGTAAAAATTTACTTAAAATCGTATAAAATTATCATTTTATTTCGAAGATTGAAATATCATTATTAACTTCTTTAAAAGAAAACTTCTCTGTTTCTCTAATACGCATTTTTTTACTTGATGAAAGCAACAAAGTTTTATAATTATTGTTCACAAATATTATGAATCCATCAAGTTAATGAAACAACTTACATTAAAGTATACATCTATACTGAAAATACATTTACCGAAAACGTAATATCTCTTTATTATATAGACTTTATTTATGCAACTGATAATTTACGCCTACATCAATATACTTGTAACGATTTCCAGAAAGTGATAATATGTATAATTATGAAAACAATTGCGCATTACATAGAAAATCTAACCAAAATTGACAAAAACAAATCTATTAGTTTATAAATGACGGAAACAATCTATGATTTTCCTTGTTCAGCATTAGAGAATCGAAATTAAATCATCAATCCGTAATTGTTAGGCAGTTGCGTAATAAAAAATTTAACCTCGCTTATTCATGACAAATGATTCATAAATATTTATAAGCCAAACAATGCCAGCTCTTTTTTTTCTTACGAATATTTCTAAGTAATGAGATCTCAGAGTAAGCATCAAATGACTTTCTTGATATTGTATAAATAAATCGATTTATACGTACATACACAAAATGCAATAAAAATCTATTCACATAATCTATGTGATACAACTTAATTTTTTAGTAGTGTACTAAAGTTTTAATAATATAATTGTTAAAAATTAGAAAAGTTAAAATCGATAAAGAAAGACATAGAGAAATTATAATTAACGTTCCTTTTTTTTTTTTAAATTAAATCTTAACTGTGCTATGCAAGTGAATTTAAATCGAAACGTGTCTTACATTTGATGTAAACATTGCTGACAATCATTTTATGACATGACAATAGGGTCGATTTATATAGTAATAAATATATAAGTACATTATTATGTGTTGCCGCGTAAATGACGGTGAAACCAGTTCGCAGAATGAAAAACGCTAGAGAGTGCATGTAAACCATAAAATGCATGCTAACCTCGAGACATCAAGAAGACAACCTTCGATCTCGGGCGCTGCAACTTACATCGACATCCTTCTTCGGCGACTCGAAAGGTCAGTTTTGCCTTTCAAGCTGCCATGTCTTCGTCGTGCGATACAGATTTATTCTAACGTTAAAATATATACACGACGAAATAAATAGCTCAAATTTTAAAGATAAGAAATTTTTATCAAAATTTAGAGTTAGCTTTTGCTTTGCGAAAAGGAAGGTTATCATCATTTATCACAGCTTTTCGTGCTTTTTTTTATCGTATTCTCTCACTATGATTTAAAAACATTTACGCTTAAGACAGATATTATAATTTATAGTTTATAATATATTTTAAACATTTCATTATTCTAATGTATATTTCTTTTGAATGTAAACATATGTTTAACTTATCTTTTTCAATTCAATACAGATTTAAAAACCTGAAGACAAGTTTTTTTAAGGTATACTACAATTACACGACAATTACTACAATTATTCGACAAAAAATAACAAAAAAGAACGAGCTTAATCATTTTCTATAGTTTCTTGGATGTTAAATACGAATTTGGTTTCCAAATTGTTTTATCACGTTACAATTTTGAAAAATTTGCAATTAGTAGTAAAAAGGATAAATTTTCTCGTATTTTGTTATAAAATAAAAATAAAACAGAATTCTGAAAGTTTCCCTGAATACCGATAAAATTCCATAAAATATAATTTTCAATGGTAAAAAGAAATCTCCCCTGAGAATTCCAGCTTTTCTCTTTTCACATCTTTCTAGGTAGTAAACATCCTGAAAATTATAGCTTTCAATTATGTTCATTTAAACTTAAGGGTTTCTTAAGCTGCTGAATATGAATCCAATGTCAAAATTGACACATTCAAAATCACGAAAAATTTTTATAAAGTGCAACAATTTGGACATTTTTAAGATTTGACTCTCGCAGTACAACTTTTCTAAGCATGTCACATATCGTAATAATAATATGACAAAATAGTTAAAAATAATCCTTTTTTTTTGCAATTACAATTACAAATATTCCAAAAGTGTGACGTGATGGAGCAATTTGGGTTTATATTGGACATCCAAAAAAATTAGAAAAAAAGACTAATCTCGTGTTCGAAAACAGTCATCCATATACATATAACGATAAAGCATATTTCATTTTCAAAGAATTTTGAAAGTATTATTATATTATATATAAAATATTAATATAAAAGATATTAAAATATTGTAAAATAAAATATAAAAGGAAGACAATAAAATGCAAATAAAAAAACAGTATCTATGAAATTAATTAAAAATTATTCTATTTTTTTAAACTCTTCAAAGTGTTCAAACTCTGTTTAATATACGCAGATAAATTTAATTCTTATTTTTATTGAATCGGATTTTATAATATTCATAATTGTTCTAATTTAATTTATCAAAAAACGTACCATATTCGGGAATATTTGTTTTCGTTTTCTTCATATCACTGTCTGCTTCTACGTTCTGCTAAGCTTTTATCTTTTCTGTGTTCGAATATCTGTAACATTGGATAATAAAAATCATAAATACATAAATAACATTGCCAAAGACATTATATTGATTATTCATGTCATATCTGTATATTAGCTATTATTTTTTGGACGAATAAGATAATTTATATATAGATAATTCATATGTACACGTCCATTATTGTGTTATTGTATTTCCCTATTTCTAATCTTTTTCCTCCACCTTTCACCTGCCTACTTCTTCTACCTCTCCTATTTACAGTTCAACAAGAAATTTTATTTCGCAATAACGGACATTCCTTGATCCGCTATATACTGTAATAAAGCTAACTGGATTAGATAGTAGGCAAATAAATAATTAATCAATAATAATTCATGAGAAGGGGGTATGACTTTAGCTTGAAAAATATTTAAATGAAAAAATATTTCAACGACTTCTGCATTTTGATTATAATATCTGCGATGACATTAAATTAATTATTAACAATTTAATATACAGATAAAATTGTAATTTAGTTCTGCAAATATTACATTATAAAAAAATTAGATAATAATCGGCGTGGTTTGATACATAAGTAAACGTTTGTAATTTATAAATTAATCGCTATTTATTATAATTATACACATTTTGATTTTTCTAATGAAACATATATTGTAGAACCAATAATCTTTAATTCATGGATATGTATATATTCTTTACATGAGTAATTATTAGCCTTGTCACATTAGCACTGCTTTTTATATCATTTGTAATGAAAGATAATTTCTAGTTTTCTTCAGATGTTAGATAAGCCGTGACATAAATACGCATCAGCAGAGAAGATAGATAAATCAACGATATAGTTTATAATTAGAAAGCGCATTTTTGGCATTTAAGTCTACAAAGCTGCAGTTTAGTTTGAGCAAAAGACTACGTTGCAAAACCAGATAATAACCAGTATATTCGAAATATAAGTGATTACTTATAACTTAGAAAAGTAATTATTATTATTCATTGTGATTATATTTCGATTTTCCTAATGAAACAGAAATCTTAGAACTAAAGATTAAAATCTTGGATATGTACATGTATGTACATATCCAATGGATGTATGCTTTACATGAGTAATTAGCCTTGTCACACTAGCTTTTCATTTCAATCGCAAATCATCGTAAAGATGATTTTTATTTTTTCATTTTGTTTGAATTTGTTTCAGTGATATTAGATAAATGTAATTTTATCGTCCAGCTTCTTGAAGAACAAGCTTTATTAATACAACCTTCAATGTCGCAATGTCTTTAATATTTTTTAATATTGTTTCTTCAATTTGCTATCTTATATTGTGATAATTCCATCCAACGATTCATAATGCATTTATAATTTTTGTGAAAATAAATTTTGGCAACCAATAACAATGTTTGTATAGTTAATGTCATACAGAATGATAAGACATTGAACCTAAGCGGAGAGACAGAAAAACAGAAATGGAAAGGAAGGAGCAAACCCCGTTATGAAGGGCACAGAAAATACCGGCGTTCAAATGACTCCTCTCACAGATACAACTTTTCTTCACTGTTATTACCGTGTTATTACTGTTATCACGTCTGGTGCAGCCTAATTATAATTTACATGCGGAAACGCGATATGTACTCACAAAAATTTGCAGGTAGATTTTTGTAGACACTGTTAATCTGCACAGTTTACATTTTTTAAACACGTAAATAAGGTTAAGAAACATGCAGCCATAATTTGTAGTGTGTGCATACATTTCTTGACGATATTTCTTCATGGCAAGTCCACAAGCAATTCAAGAAGGGGATATATTGCGAATGAAATTTTAAGAATGTAAATAAATATTAAATCTGTATCTTTTTGTTAATTTCAACTGGACTTTAACAGAACTTTAATTTTTGGCTATTATACATAAAAATTGTTATAAATGTTCTCTCTGGATACATTTTTACGGTAAAAAATAAATTTGTTACAATATGTGAAAGAACTTTTTATTAAAATTAAAATAAATTGTGGAACGTACAAATATATGTGACATCAGATTCTAGTATTAAATTATATAATGTAAAATCAATTTGTATTTTTTTAACCAAACTGAAATATATATTATCAATAAAATTAGTTATTTGGTATTCAAGAGATTTTAAATTTGTCGGATATTGACAAAATTGAAAAAAGATTTATAAAAAAATATCGATACTTATGTCACACAGATACACACATCAAGATGCTACTGATCGAACGATGCAGCGCATAAATTTGAATCATGCTTACTTCGGGGAAATATGGTTGACTTAGAAACTCGAAAGCTGGAATTTATGCACACGCGTAATACTCTCACTATTGCGAACGTTATTAAAAAATACGTTTATTCGTATTCTCGTGCGAAACCGACAGCTCAAGCGTAACGACTATCGTATACTCGGAGATGCAAGTCAAGAAAAGTCTTTCAAGCCGCTTGTTCTCCACCGAAGAGGAGGGATGTCGGCGCCAAACGTCACGTCGGGACGCGGCGCCGTTACATAGGACTGCAAAAAAAACACATCGAGTTTGCAACCTGCAATTTTACGCGCGAGATGATAGAAGTACGACCACGGTATCTTCCAGGATTGGTCGTAAAAGTAACCATGGTACATTAATTACGGATCTGTTCATTTTAATCACATTTTCAATACTTTATGCCTTTTCTCCGATTTTATTTTTTAAAATTTGAGTATATACATATGTTTGAGGATGAATTTCTGAATTTTATATATAAAATGCAGAAATTTCATACACAAATCATATATGTTGATATATAGGCTTTTATAGAACTAACGCCTATTGTAAAGATTATTTCCAATAAAAAAATTATTTTTGATAAATTATCCGAATACGCCTATTTTTAGTAATTTAATTATAACAGTATTAAAATTGCATAATGCATTATTTAATAGAAACGGTATAAGAATTTAAATTGTAAGTCTTATTTGAATGCAATATGCAACTCGGCATCATAAATCGTTTAATGATAATTATATACTGATGTTTAAAGTGATACATTAATAAGCATTATTTGAAATATGACTCCGAAAAAGTGTTTCGCAATGCAATTGATAAACTTGAAATGATACTTCCACATAATCGACCTGCAATTTACATAACTTGAAGAATGTCCGGATGTTTTAATATGATAGTACTTTCGTGTTTAAAGAATTGAATTTTATTCGAAATATGAGTCAAGAATCCAAATCTTCGAATAAGTCTTTATATAAAGTGCAAAAGTGGTTTAAAATATTGATTGCAGAATTTAATTAATTTGTGAATCGAATTATTACTTCAAAGTAAGGAATAATTTTTTGTATTTCGAGAATTTTAATTTTGATAATGTTATTTATACCATATCTAATTTTTGACGATACTCACTTTCAAGATGTGTAACAATACTCATTTCAAGATGTGAAAACAAAAAATTATCCTATCGTAATACCATAGATTATTATTACTGATTAGAGTCGCAGCAGACACATGATAGTCAAGATTACATGTTACCAGATAAATTAAGATATAAATCTAATTAATTAATAGCGAATCATTAAATCATTCTAACGAGAAAAACAGAGATACATTGTTTTTTTTTTTAAAGAATACGAAATCTAACGAGGATGTTAAATATGAATTAAAATGAATAGTCAACGTATATACAAAATCTTTCTTCTGTAAGAAATTAAAATAAATAAATGACAAAATAATTCTGTGTAATCATTTTACTATAAAAGAATCGATTCACTAACTTATGTTGATTAAGGATTTTTTTATTCGATTCAATAAATATTACAATATTATTTGACAATAATTGTTGATTAAATATTTTTATCCGTTTTGGTCAACATTATAAACCTACAAAATTTTGAACTATTTTTTCCGGAAAATATTCTTTAAAATTAGAGACAGAATCTTCTTGGGAAAGTACTATCAAGGTTTCAATTGCTTCAAAGTCAGGTTTTAAAATTTCAAGTGCTTAAAAATAGAGACTCTCTTGTTAATTAAACTTTAAACATATAAAAAAATGATATAAATTTATTTTTCGTTTAATTTTGTACGATCTTTATTTTAATATCAAGAAGAAGAAAACTTTTTTTTAGAGAAAACTGATCGATCTTTTTCAATGACACCATATTTTCAGAAATAAAGCGCATATGAAAATTATACTGGATTTTTCCGATAAAAGGATTACATAGAGATATATGAATATTATATTCCAAATAAAAGCGTACAAATATTTGATAAGAATATTTTAGAATCAAAGTGTACGTTTAATAACGTATGTATTCATATATTTTTAATATTTTATTTTCAGTTATTATTTGACTATTGATTATGTAAATAATAAAAATTGCAAATTAAATTGGAATTTTTTCATTTATGTTATACGTATTGTATAATATATCGAAAGCATTAAATCGGCTTTTATGTCATTATTTAATTAAGCTGTTTCATTTTTGTAAAATTAAATTACATTTTTGTAAAGTGGAGATATATTTTAGAAATATAAGGTTATCACGCTTTAGACAAAACACAAATACATATTAACAAAAATTATATTATGATTTTGGTATAAAACAGTTTTTTATAAGAATCGGATGATTATTTTTGAAATACGATAGTTAATTTAATTATTTAAATTGTTATTAACTGATAAGTTAATATTATCGTACATAAAACAAATTAAATAATTTAAGAGAAATGAATACTTTAATACTTTTGTAACAGTTCATAATATTTTTTTGTATTTTATAAGAGATTCTAATATTAGTTATTATTATAAATTTCCTAGTAGGAAAATCTATCCTTCGTTAAAGAATTAAATAAATTAAAAAAGCAATTATATATAACACTAATTTTCTTATAATTATTGGGAAGATAAGTTATATCTTTTCTCTCTCTCTCTCTCTCTCTCTCTCTCTCCCCCCTCTCCTTCTCTCTTTCTTTCTCCCAATAACTAGGAAGATAGCTATAATCTAATCTAAATTATACGACAATATTATGCACCCTCTATTATCAAATGTGCAAAAGCTGCTGCTACACAGTTGTTTCTCTATTAACCTCAATTAACTTAGCCTCTTAAAAATATTTACGAGTATGTGAATGCTAAATGAGTCGACATACAAGTCGTAGACATTTCCACGTGTGCCATCTGTATTAAGTGGCTTAATTGTCACAAATTTGTTGACCATCACACATTAATCGAAGAAATGGTATGATCAGTGTTTTTACAGTTTTAATGATAAAATTTGATTTTCTTAAGCCTTAAAGTTATACAAATTTTTTAAATTTATATAACAATTTTTAAAACGTATTATTGATTTTATACTTTTTCTTATAAATTTTATTTTCCTATATGGTTACGTTATACTTGTATAATTCGTATAAAGAGTCGTTGATGTTTATAAGTTTATATACGAATATTTTAACAACCGTTATTAAGTGTAAGAATGAGGAAAACTGTCAATTAATGAGAATTGCCGAATATGACATATATCTTTATACTAGCAGCTCAATTATCTTTCATCACGACAAATGCTTGATGACCTCAAAGTTTCTAAATCACTCGTGTGTAACAAGGATACGAGTTTATATAATAATAATGTCCGAATTGTGTGTCTGGTTAACCGTTGTTAAATACCTCATAAGTGTGTAGTACGACTGAAATTTATATCATTTTCCCTCTAATGTCAGGTATATTCCCTCTGATATGATATTATAAAATTTGATTTTTTTATTACACAAATTTTTTTTTAATACATAATTTAATACATTCGCGATAAATTTTTGATTTTAGTAATCTGCGATATTTTGAAGTTATTTAAGAGATATTTTAAAATTTTCAAACTGGGCATATATAAATCCTGTGCGTTTAAAGTATCGCATATCTCTCTCAAATAAGTGGGATATATAAGACATCAAGCTACACAAATAATACAAAAACGAAGCACTTGTATTATGCTGTATTCCATCTTTTACTATTTCTTTAAATTTATGTATAACGAAATAAGTATTAAGTTTTGTTTAGTCCTCACAGTCATCATGTTGGTTGTAATATATAGTTGTGCCATTTTACTATAGTTGCACTACTATATTGATAAATTAATTCAACTAACAATGATTTAATATTAACAATAGGAAGTGAAATCACAACATATTACTAATATTACATAAAGGTATACATATAACAGAACAATTGTATGCAAATTAGCCCCACTTCTCCTATTTTTTATAACTTCTGCGGCGTAAATTCTCGCGACATAAATACCGGAGTCATCCTATTTTAATCGATACATGTTACAGTCGGTAATATAAAAATATTTGTACATGCTTCAAAAGAATTTATTTTATAAAACATATAATTTCCAGATGTTTTTTCAGAAAATTTTGGAAACATCTTGACCTACTTTTTGATAAAGTCTAAAAGATATTTTAAAAAGTTGTTTTTGCAACTTTTTTTGAAAATGATGAAATTGATAATATCGCATTTGCATCACATTACAATAAAATAAATAATAAAATCAAGATCAGCATAAAAAAATAAAAAGTATAATTAGTAAAGTAATTAATGAAATGAAATGAGAGAGAGAAAAAACATACTTAAATAAACTTTACTGAAAATAACAAAACATCTTCAAAGCAAAGAAAGGTTAACAGAAAAAAGAATTCTGCTTTAGTTCTGCAATCCCTATTAGTAAATTAATAAAACTATATGATATAATTGTATATATAATTACCAATCCTAAATATTATAGTTGAGATTTAATAAATCACTTTTATATTGATATTTCCATGAATAAATAATGAAATTCTATTAAAATTTTGCATCGACTGAAGTAAGATAGATATTATAATTTGTTATCGATTGATAATTTTTACAATATATAATTACAAATTTAGACCGTTATTTAAATAAATCATATAATTAAGGCTAAAGGGCTATAAACGAGATCGCAACTAAATCTCTTAATGCTTAATATAATATTTCTATATTTTAAATACAATTCTTCAGTTTTGATTTAATTACTGCAGTTGTAATTTTGATAGCTCAACGTATGCGACATATAGCGGCGCAAAAATGTATTTCGTCGCTTTATTTCGCACAGTTTACCTTTAAGTGATAATCTGTATCGTATGTATATATCTAATATACATATACCTTTCTAGGATTTTTAATTCTAGAGAATATTATAATAATAAATAAGTTATACAGTAAATCTGAAATTTATGTATAATGTACGGTTTATATAATTAATATTTTTATTAATTCAAGTGCGAATATCCAAATTATCTGAATTTGGAATTAATCTTAATATCTAAAAAATGTCGAACCGAATCTATTGAAATCTACAAATTTGTTAAATCAGGTTTTTTATATTATTTTATTTTATTCTATATTATTTTTATTACATTTTTATTATTCAATTAGGAATAAACAAGCCTTTGAGAGCCAATGCTGGATATAATTGTAATGAATTTTATTGTATATAACAATTAAATAAGAATATTTTGATCCTTGATTTGGATCCTCTTCAGCAAATACA